TTTGGGGGGAGGGTGATGCCCAAGGGCAATTTACAACTGACCTATGTCATCAGCCCTTTAATTTTTTTTTAAATATTTTTTAAATTACACATGGACACAATATATTTTGTTTATTTTTATGTGGTGCTGAGGATTGAACCCAGGGTCTCACACATGTGAGGCAAGTGCTCTACCACTGAGCCACAACCCCAGCTCTTTTTTTTTTTTTTTTTAATTTTGAGACAGGTTCTCACTGAGTTTTTTAGGGCCTCCATAAATTGCTGAGGCTGGCCTAGAACTTGCGATCCTCCTTCCTCAGTCTCCAGAGTTGCTGGGATTATAAGCATGCACTTTCACTCCCAATTTTCCCAAATATTTAAAACAAATCTTTTAGTTGCTCACATTTTATAAATAGCCCCAATGGTAACAACTTAGCAGGAGAGGTCCAAGACTCTATTTAATTGAGTTGTGCTAGGATTTCTTCCCTGAATATAGCTTCCCATTCAAAATGTATAATCCTTAATTTTCTCTGTGACCCAAATACTACACAAAGCAACTCAAATTTTAGACTTAGCTACAAAAGTACAAGTGACCAAGATATTTATTTATGGGAATACTCCTCCATATCTTTTCATGACTTGATAACTCATTCATTTCTTTTCCTTTTTTGTTTTTCTCTGTGGTTCTAGAGATTGAAAGCAGGGAAGATCTACCACTGACCTATTATTTTAGCCCTTTTTATTTTTAATTTTTTCAAGGCTTTGACATATTATTACTCACTCACTCTTCGGCAGCGGCAGGTCAAGGTACAGTAGAAAGCTGCATTTTGCCTACAAGCAAGGGGAACATATAGGATAAGTTTCCTGCCCACTGCACAGGTGAATTTCCTCAGATGTTTTATGAGTATATTACTTTGCTTTACAACTTACAGATCCTCAAGGGGCAGTGTCTCATGCCTGTAATCGCAGTGATCTGGGAGTCTGAGGCAGAAGGGCAGCAAGTTGAGGCCAGACTTAGCAACTTGGCGAGGCCCTAGGAAACTTATCAAGACCCTGTCTCAAAATTTAAAAAATAAAATAAAAAGGGCTAGGGATGTAGCTCAGTAGTAAAGTGTCCCTGGATTACAGGTCCTGTAACCTGCGTCCCCCCCCCCAAATTATTCCTTTAGTCAGGAAGTCATATAAAAATTATGTACAAAGTAATTTCAGGTTTTTCTCAAAATGTTTGTATGCACACTTTTTGCCCTTTTGTACTGATATTTAGATATTTAAAGGTTGTTATACTACCATTATCTAAAGTCAACATCCAATTGATGTTCCTGCATCAAAGACAGTGAAACCTCATGATCAAATCTACTTCTTGAAGTACTTATCATAACCAAAAAGTGGATAGGTGGCTAATTTATGTGTGTGCTGGGGATCAAAACAAGAGCTTGGCACATGCTAAGCATGTGTCCTACCATTCGGTTATATCCCAGCCACAAAACTGGATGTGATGGCTAATTTTGTGTGTCAACCTGACTGGGAAATGGGGTGCTCAGATATTTTGTCAAGTGTTATTCTACGTGTGTCTGTGAGGCTGTTTCTGGATGAGATTGACAGTTGAATCATTTGGTAAAGTAAACAAAGCACCCGGGTGTGGCTGGCCTCATTCAGTTAATGAAGGCCTGGCACTGGGAGCACATATTTAGCACATGCAAGAACCTAGGATTGATCCCTTGCAACACAGATATACACATACAACCAATGAATGCCTGAATAGAGCAAAAAACCTGAGTAAGAACTCCTGAGCCAATTCCTTATAATACATTTGGTGAGTGGGTGGGTGGGTGCCAAATCAAGTGCAAGGTTTTCTGGGGAATTCAGAAATAATATTGTTGTCTTTGATGACTTCAGCCAGCCAGCTCAAGGGCAGACTGCCTAGACTGATCGCTTTGCAACCTGCCAGTTAGTTCATTTGCTTCCTGAAAAATGCACATGATTCACCATGGCGTCTCAACATCCCACCTATCCACCTCTTTTTATAAATTCACCTTTTAAATTTCTTTTATGTTTTTACATGTCTTGACATTCACCTATTGACTCTTCTTCATATGAGTAAATAAATAGTTTACATATAATTTACTGCCTCCATGTTATTCTTTGACAAAAGTGAGTATATATAAAAAGAAGTTGCCAAAAGGCTAAAACTTGGGGCATTCAATTTTTGGAGGGTACTGGGAATTGAACCCAGGAACGCTTTGCCACTGAACTATATCCCTAGCCCTTTTTATTTTATTTTTTTTTATTTAACTTGCCAAGGTTGGTCTTGAATTTGCAATCCTCCTGCCTCAGCCTCCCAAATTGCTGGGATTACAGGTGTGTGCCACCATGCTTGGCATTCATTGCTTTCTCTCTATGTACATAATAAATATTTGTCTCCACTTTTTAATGTAGAAGACCCCAGAATAATAAGTACTGTTCTCTGTTTTGTTTTGCTAAATAATATAAGTATGCAAGAATACTTACAAATAAACTTTGGAAAAGGACTTGCTGAATATGTATTTTTGCAACATTGATACATTGATAGATGGTTCTCAATGGCCACTCATAATATGAGTTGAATCAATTTGCACTTCTACAAACCAAGACCCTCCTCCGATCTCAGTGTGATCAAACTTTAGGATTTTTTTTTTTTTTCCGTATTGGGGATTGAACCCAGGGGTGCTTTACCACTGAGCCACATCCCCAGTCCTTTTCAGTTTTTATTTTGAGACAAGGTCTTGCTAAATTGCTTAGAGCCTCACTAAATTGTTGAGGCTGGCTTTGCATTTGTGAGCTTCCTACCTCAGCCTCCCAAGCTGCTGGGATTACAGGCATGTGCCACTGCTCCTGGCTTCAAACTTTTGGATTTTTAATAACTGAAAAAGCAGAAAATAGTATCTTAGATTATAAGTCCTTTTTTTTTTTTTTGGTACTGATGGGGATTGAACCCAGGGGTTCTTTACCACTGAGATGCATTTGTTTCCCTTTTTATTTTGATTCAGGGTTTTACTAAGTTGCTTAGGGCCACACTAAATTGCTGAGGCTGCCCTTGAATTTGCCATTCTCCTGCCTCAGCTTCACCTTGGGATTACAGGTGTGCACTACTGTACCTGGTTTAAGAGTATATGTCCTTTTTAAAGATGAGAGCTATGAAAGCATATGAATATGCTGTAGGAAAAAAAAAAGCCTGATAATTCAGAGGGGAGAGAGAAGGGAAGTAATTTCAGGAGAAGAGTCCTTTACTAGGCTGAAGGAATGGGATTTACTTCATCAGTGATTCAATCAGTTGGTATAGATGAGGGGGTTTTGGTACAAGTTTGGGGAGCTAAACCAAGGGCAAGTCTCTTCTAATTGCTTTTCAGGTGAAATAAGATTGCAAGTCAGTTGAGCCAGGATAGGAGTAGAAGTTTTGAAAATTTGAGAGAATAGATATGAATTGCTTTTCTTGGAATGGGAGAGGAAACTGCTCAGGGAAATATAAGATTGTTGGGTGGCACTGAGTTCCCCTTGAGGATTATAGCACTAAAAGTGAACTTTGGTGGGGTGCTGTAGGTCCATGCCTATGATCTCAGTGACTGGGGAGACTGAGGAAGGAGGTGAAAACTTCCAGATTAGCCTCAGAAATTTAGGGAGACTCTGTTTCAAAATAAAAAATTAGAAGGAAAATGGCCCTTGGGTTTAATCCCCAGTACCTGAATGAATGAATGAATGAATGAATAAAAGAAGGTGAACTGTGAAGGACAAGGAACTGCCATGGATGAGAAAAGTCACTGCTTTAGGGAGAACTGAATAAAAGCAAATTAAAACAAAAGCATTTATTGAGAATTCATTTAACAAATATTTATTTATAAGGATCTCTTGTGCAGATCACAAGTATATTCAAGTCTGTTGGTCACACAAGCTGATTAAAGTAAGGCATTCATTATGCAAACAAAAGCATAAAAAGTCCCTATTGGACTCTTTAAATGAATAATTCTGAAATTTGAAGTGCAGTGGGGAAGAGTTTTCAGATTCTTTTTGACAGACTGAACTAACAGTTTCACAGAAAAACATGCACATACACAAAGTGCAGATAATTTCAGGTGGTCTTATAGCCACAAATTAAGAATACTCTCCCCTGAATTTACATCCCTATTTTATTAAAACTTTTTTTTTTTGGTACTGGGAATTGAACCTGGGGGCACATACCCCTGAGCGGCATCCCCAAACCTTTTTATTTTTTATTTTCTGACAGGTCTCATTAAGTTGCTGAGGGTAGCCTCGAACTTGTGACCCTCCTGCCTTAGCTTTCCGAATAACCCTATTTTAAAATAGTATATCATTCTTGTATATTTTATATGATTCAATTTCACAAGACTTTTTTTTTTAATGAGTAACTTCATAGCTGTGTACTGGATATCTCAACAAAGGCAAAGAATTTGAAATAATTTTAGGTTTAACAAGACTGTTGGAAAAATAGGTTAGCGTTACCCTATACTCTTCATCCAGAATCTCGAAGGTTAACAAGATAACCGGAGTTCAAATATGGAAATTATTAATTTAATTCTATTAATTAATATTATGCAAATTTCATCAGTTGTCCCATTCTAATTCTTTTTCAGTCCTAGGATCCCAATCCAGGATTTCATGTTACGTTTACGTGTCATAGGCCTTGATTTTTTTTTTTTAGTTTTATTCTAATTTCTGACTTAATGGCTGTCATTTAATGTCTTTGACTCAATTTACTGCTCAATAGATGTAATGAAGCTGTTTAAAAATTTTTTTGGAATGGCTATGGAACTTTTTTGAGGGGAGAAAATATTTTTTCCTCGTTCAAAGCTGGGAGTATATATTCAGTTTGTGTGTGTGTGTGTGTGTGTGTGTGTATGTGTACGTCCAGAGCAAAACATAAACAGGACAAACAAGCGTATTAAAGTTGTCCAGGTAATTTGTCCTAAACTAGGACCTGTAGTTTCTCCCTCAGCCGCCGGGAGAAGCTTCTTCTAATTGGGCCGCGGCGTCCGCCATGACGCAGGAGGGCCGCCTCATTGGTCCGCGCAGTCAGGACTCCGGCAGCTTTTCTCTTGGGTGCTCTGGGCGCCGACCCACTTCTCTTCCTCTAAGTCAGCGCTCCGTTCTTTCTGGTGCCCGGAGCTGCTAGCCCAAAGGGATCCAGACTGAGCTAGTCCGGGTAAATGCACTGGGGTCAGCCGGGAGGAAGCGATGGGCGTGGAATCTGGGTGGAACGGTGGTTTGCGAGCCTCGATAAAACTGCCTGGTCTTCGAGTCTCCCACGGACCCCGCCACTTCCCTGCTCCACCTCTCTCCCGACCCCAACCTCCCCTTCGCCTTCTCCAGGATCTCCCAAGGCTTGGCGCACCCCTCTGCCGCCTTTCCGGGGACCCCGCCTCCTTCGCTCACCCCTCAACCGGCCCCGCCCCCTTGCGCTCTTTTCAGCAGCCCCGCCTTTTCTGCGCTCCCCTCTGCTGGCCCCACCTTCTCACCCCGGCCTCCCCATTGACCCCGCCCTCGCCACGTCTCATTGGTCCGCCCCTCGCCTCCTCCCTTACACGGTCCCGCCTCCCCTCTGTACCCTCCTCCGTCTGTGCTGTGAGCGGGCGCGGCTCCTTCAGGTCGCTCTCTACCCTCAGGCGGTTTTTTGTCCCATTCCTGGCTTGCCCACTTACCTTAAGTTAGGTTCTGCTCCTCCCTAGAACCTACACTTTCTCTTAATTAGCCTTGCTTCCTTTTGCACCATCCTCCCAGTCTGACTGTGGGGGTCGCGGGATTCAGTGATTCATCATCCTTTGGGGCATTTTGCTGGGTGTTGGAGATAGGGATTAGTTGTTGGATGGTTCTTCTTTCCAGAGCTCTCTCAGCCTGTGGGAGAGAGTCATTTTGTAATGAAGTGTAACAGGCCCTGTGAGAAGTCTTCATGAAGACAGCATAATGTCGGGATGCTTTGAGGAAGAAATACTAAAGGGTTAGGCGTTTTTTGTTTTTGTTTTTCCTTTTTTAACTATTCCTGTTGGATCCTCAAACAAGCCTGTAAAGGGGCGAAACTGCACTTTCCCCCAAATGCCTTTGGCTACTTGTGATGCAGAACACTGGCTTTGTGGTCCTTTAAATACTTGGTTTTTATTAAAATCTTGGCATCGACGCTAGTTTTAACTAGTCAGAATTAGTAGGGCTTTGGAGACCATCCAAGTTTGCAGTGAGACGGCTTGACTTAGGTTCGACATCATACTTTTAAAAAATTCATATATATATATAATTTATATTTATATTTGTAAATGGACATGATATCTTTATTTAATTAATTTTCATGTGGCACTGAGGATGGAACCCAGTGCCTCACACTATTAGGGAAGCACTCTGCCACTAAGCCACAACCTCAGTCCCCAGCATCACACTTTTTATGATCCCTTTTGAAGTATTTCCTGAGGATTCTTACTGAAGTTTTCAATTACTAATTACTTGGTAGGCAAACTGAAACTAAGCATAGATAAAATCACAAGTCAGTAATGTAAACACAGGTTCTACTTTGGAACAATAGATACTAGTACAATATTCAGAAGACAGTAACTCATCCCTCAGGCTACAGGAGTTAGGCATACCTGGGGCCTGTTACCACTCCACCACATTCTGGAAAGCTTGGGAAAGTAACTTCCCTTATCTGAACCTCAGTTTTACCTTCTACAAAAGAACATAATAAATTCTATCACTGTCATGGTAGGGATTTGTTGAGATTCTATTTAGGAAAAAAATAATTTTTAGGTTCCTGTAGGATCTTAGCCCAAGTGGGTCCCCTATTCTTCAGATTCATGACTTCATGCTTAAGCCCACAAAAAGCCTGATATGTTGCCTTCTTCCAGGCATCATGACAACCCTGGATGACAAGTTGCTGGGGGAGAAACTGCAGTACTACTACAGCAGCAGTGAGGATGAGGACAGTGACCATGAAGACAAGGACAGAGGCAGGGGTGCCCCAGCCAGCAGTTCCATGCCTGTGGAGGCTGAGCTGGCAGGTGAAGGCATCTCAGTTAATACAGGTACTGGAAAGTCTTGAGCTCTGGGAACAGATTTTAAAATGTCTGTTAAGTATGTATCACTTAGAATTCTCCTGATCTCTCTAACTATCCCATTTCTATCGATAACCAGTGTTGGCATTCATTGTGTGTGCTTGTAGTCTTTTTACTACACAGTGCAGAGCAACAGACAATGAACAGATTGGCCTGGGTTTGAATCCTATTTGTCAGATTAATAGTTCGATAGGCATAAATCATAGATGTGAGTATATTTGTAGTATAAACTCCTAGAAATGGCATATTTATTTTCTTTCTTTCTTTCTTTCTTTTTGATTGTTCTGGTCCTTGAACCCAGGGCCTCTTGAATGTTAGGCAAGTACTACCACTGAGCTGTCTCCAATTCCACTTTTAATTTAATATTGTTGAATTTCTGTTAGTTGAGGTGGCACTAATTTATAATTTAACTGGCAGTACAATGTTTCTTATATTTTTCTTCCTGGGTTATCAAATTTTTTGATTTTTGCCATCCTGGTAGATGACAAATAGGTATTTTTTTCCCCCCTAGAGATGGAATCTTGCTTTGTTGCCCAGGCTGTCCATGAACTCCTGGACTCAAGTAGTCCTTCTGCCTCAGCTTCCTGAGTAGCTGGGCCTGTAGGCAGTATTACTATACCAGACTTGTCATTTTTATGTAAACTAATATATTTGGAGAATCTTTCATTGCAGGGAATAGACTGCCTCATCTTTCTGAGTGTTACTTTATTTTCCCTGAACAGTGTTACTTTATTTCATAATTTCTTTAACTTGTTTCCTAATGTTGGGCATTATCTTGGCCCTTTATTACGAACTGTGCTGTAGCACACCTCTTTGTGTGTAGACCACTCTGCCTTGTGGCACTGATGCACTCCTCAAGAAGCTTTAAGGTCAGTGGACATGATCCTAAGGAGAAGGAGTGCTGTGCCGGGCGCAATGGTGCATGCCTGTAATCCCAGCAGCTTGGGAGGCTGAGGAAAGAGGATTGCAGGTTCAAAGCCAGCCTCAGCAGCTTAGCAAGGCCCTAAGCAACCTAGTGAGACCTTGTCTCAAAATAAAAAATAAAAAGGACTGGAGATGTGGCTCAGTGGTAGAGCTCCCCTGGGTTCAATCTCTAGTACAAAAAAAAAAAAAAAGGAGAAAAAAAACAAGAACAAAAAGAGAAGGAGTGCTGTGGGGTAGGTGGAAATTTGATGCAGGTCTCTGCTTTTTGCAAGCTTGCCCACTGTGGCCTGTTATTCTGTGCCCAACTGCTTTGCCCTGAACAGATCATGGGTTCTGTCAGTGTTTAGAATATTAAGAAGGTTCCCTGCAACTGATCCAGCCAGTGCCAAGGGTTCTTCTCTCACACTGGTATGATACATGATAAGCACTGCATTCAGGAAAGGAGGTAGAGTTTTTTTTTGCCACCATGTTGTCAGCACATTCAGGTATGCTGGGGAGGCTAGAGATCTGGTTTCTCACAAATAGTAAATGATATCTGTCAAAAAAAAAAAAATGAGTCCTAAAGGGTGATGAAAAGAATTAAGATAAAATTGCCTTCCATAAGGGTTCTAGGCTTCAGTTTCTAACAGGAGTGAGGGATTTTAAAAATGGCTATAAAACTCTTTCACATGCCTCCCATTAAGGTGTGAGGTTTATGTCTCCTGCCTGGAAACCTGGATAGACTGGTAACTACTTCAGATAATAAAATGTGATGGAGATGATACTATGTGACCACTAAGCTTGGGTCATAACAGGCAATGAGGTTTCTGTTTTGTCTACTGGAACCCTTGCACTGGAGCCACAAGCTACCAAGTTATATGTTTACCTATCCTGAGATACCATGTTTGGGGGAAGCACAGATGCATAGAGAGGACTCATCTATGCACTCTGATTGACATACCAGCTGAGCTTAGTGTGAAGACATTTCAGCTCAGTTAACAGACATGTGAATGAGACTCCTAATGAGACTCCTAATGATTCTAGTCCCAGCTGGCAAGTCCTCTTCATATTTTGAGTCTTTTTAGATGAGATACTAGAGAACATGAAGCAGAAGCAAGCCATTTCCCCTGTAGCCTCTCCTAATTTCTGACCCACAGAACCTGTCACCATAATTTATTTGATATTTTTTACTACTAAGCTTTGAAGCAGTTTGTTATTTGGCAGTTGTGTCCAAAATAGATTTTGATGATAGTGAAAGCCCCTCCTACTCCTGTAGTGGAAAAGTTAATGTCCTTGAGGAAAAAGCTTATCTGTTTATTTCAGTTCATGCCAAATAATTGTTTGTTTTTTTAAAAGACTAATGCTTAGCAGTGTAACATAAGGTAGCAGGTTTTATGCAGAATGCATTTGTAGTGGGGTTCTATGCACAACATGCTACAATGTGTATATTTTTTATATCATGAGAAAAACAGTATTAAAATAGATTAAATGAGTGGAAATTTTTAGACACAAATGTTTCAGTATGTGAAAATAAGGTTTTTATATTCTGTAAGACAACAGAAATATACAGTTGCAATTTATTATATGTATCAAGCACTGCTCTAGACACTTTACATCCTCTCATCCATTCATCTAACCAGCCTGCCAATTGATTGAGTCAGGGGCAAAGGGCAGATAGCTGATTATCAAAGAAAAAAATAAGCAGATAGCACTTCCCCATCAACCTGTTGCTCACACCTCTGGGGGAGGGGAAGGATTGCACTTTCCAACATAAGCCATCAGCCCCTGGGCTGCTCATTTCCTGCCTTTTGGTCATGTAGGCATGTGAGGAAAAGGAAACCTAAAATCTATAAAGGAGCAAGACATATCCACTCCCCTGGGCACCAGCTCTGGGTCCCCTCCTCTCTGTAGGAGTCTCCCCCCCCACCCCCTCCCAGTTCTGTTTCTTAAATAAAATTTACCTTTTGCTCTTGCCTCGGTATTTCTTTTTTCTTTTTTCTTTTTATTGTTGGTTGTTCAAAACATTACATAGTTCTTGACATATCACATTCCACACATTTGATTCAAGTGGGCTATGAACTCCCATTTTTACCCCGTATACAGATTGCAGAATCACATTGGTTACACATCCACTGTTTTACATATTGCCATACTAGTGTCTGTTGTATTCTGCTGCCTTTCCTATACTCTACTATCCCCCCTCCCCTCCCCTCCCCTCCCATCTTCTCTCTCTACCCCATTTACTGTAATTCATTTCTTCCCCCCCTTTTTTTTTTCCCTTTCCCCTTACTTCCTCTTGTATGTAATTTTGTATACCAATGAGGGTCTCCTTCCATTTCCATGCAATTACCCTTCTCTCTCCCTTTCCCTTGCACCTCTCGTCCCTGTTTAATGTTAATCTTCTTCTCATGCTCTTCCTCCCTACTCTGTTCTTAGTTGTTCTCCTTATATTAAAGAAGACATTTGGCATTTGTTTTTTAGGGATTGGCTAGCTTCACTTAGCATAATCTGCTCTAATGCCATCCATTTCCCTGCAAATTCTATGATTTTGTCACTTTTTAATGCAGAGTAATACTCCATTGTGTATAAATGCCACATTTTTTTTAATCCATTCATCTATTGAAGCTTGCCTCGGCATTTCGTGGGTGTTTAATCTTTAACACCAGGGGATCAAGGACCCCATCCTGATTTTCAAGACTGGTATCATAACCATTCGTCTAACCATTCCTCCTTCCTTCCTGCCATCCATCCATACCACCACCTACTCATTGATCTGTACATCTGTCTATTTGTCCATCTATCTACCCACCCACCCAGTCAGCCAAAAAGAAACAATTAACCAAAATTAAGTGAAAAACTCTTAGGTGTTAAATTTTATACCAGGCACTGGGCATTGAAAATTAAAGAAGATCCAGTCCCTGTTCTCACTTCAGAAAGTTCATAGGCTTGGAGAAATGCTTATAGCCTGGAAGTTTTGACATGTGCTGGAGTTTGATGTTTATCATGGCCCTTGGTTCAGTGTGGTTTCTGTCCTTATAAGGAGATCAGGGCTGGGCCCTTGGTTCAGTGTGGCTTGTGTCTATATAAGGACAGCTGGGAGGGCCTTGATTCAGCATGGCTTGTGTCCTTTTTTTTTTTTTTAATGCATTTATTATGTTTGTATTTTTTTATGAATTTCATGTAGTACTGAGGATTGAACCCAGTGTTTCACATATGCCAGGCAAGCTCTGTACCACTGAGCCACAACTCCAGCTTCAATGGCTTGTGTCCTTTATGAGGAGAGCAGCACAAGCTTTGATTCAATGTGACTTGCTTTGTTATATGATTATCTTCCCTCCTATTTAGTTGATGATTGTATTGAAACATTTTGATTCCCTTACCTCTCATTTTGGGTGTGCTCTACTAGAATTTCTTTGTGGTTCCCATGGGGGGGGGTCCTATTTAACATGAGAAAGACATGCCACTGTGATATAAATCTATAGCAACGTGACTTCAGTAGTGTGCAGATGTGGCTGCTATAACTCTCCAGCCCTTCCCCTTCAGTTACTGATGTTACAGTGTTATATAAGGTATTTTTTTACTGTAGAATAAAAATGAGGTGTTTCGATACATTATTCTCTTATTTGTAGAAAACAACAGTAGCACTAGCTTTTTTAATTGTCATGAATTTGCTTTACCAGGGATTTTTCTTTCTTCATCAAGATCTGAGTTTCTATCTAATGTCCTTTGGGTTGCACAGGGCATATCTAGTTGGAACCAACTCCCTGGGCTGTAGTTTATTTCATTCTGTGGTTTGAATGTGTGTATCCCTCCAAAATTCCTGTTGACAGTTCAACATTAATGTGACATTGTTGACAGCTGGTTAGGCCAGGAAGCTCCCACCCCATGGATGGGATGTGCACATGAAGAGAGCTTCTCCAGCCTGTGCAAAGACTTGGTTTAGCTCCTAGCACTACTCTCCTGTGTGAGTGTGCACGTGCACGCCATACATCTGGGTACAATGATGTATGGCTGTGATTTCATTAGCTCTGTTGTCTCTGTGATCAAAACACCCAACAAGAACAACTTGGAGAAGGAAAAACTTCTCTGGGACCCACAGTTCCAGAAGTCTCAGTCAGATGGCTGACTCCATTGCTCTGCCCAAGTCCATCATGGGGGAAAGGCCCAATGGGGAAAGCTGCTCAGTTCAGGGCAGCAAAGGATCAGAGAGCTTGAGTGTGGAGATACGATGAGGTCTTTCAAAGCCACAAAGTTATTACAGATTTTCAGACTCAAAATGAAGAGACCACTGAAGTAATCTACAAATTTTAATTTCTAAACAAGTACATGTTAGTCTCCATAATCCACTAAAGCAAATAATCTTCCAGAGTCCTTTCTTATTATTTTGAAAGTGGAAAAGGTCCTGGAGATCCAAAAGTGAGAAGACCTTTGGGGGTTGTGTCCAGGTGTGACTGGGTCATTTCTTACTCTGACCTCACAAGGAGCCATTGTGAGGAAATTTCAAACAGTAGATATATAAAAGGGTGGCTGCAGCTGTTTTGTTTTGCTTTGTTTTGTTTTTTGTCTGTAAGTACAGGAAGCTCTTGGTGGTGACCTGTCGGACTCCCAGATATTTAGCACATTTGGTGGTTGTTAGTGGCTTGTGGCTATGGTCTTTGGATATTGGCTTTTTGATTTGGGCTTTATTTTATTTTATTTTTGGTCCTTATTTATTTTTTTTTTTAGCTCGCATCCTTGTTCCAGTTTAGGAATGAGCAGTGAGAGTAGTTAGAGCAATGTAGTGCTGCAGGGGTGGGGCTCCTGTTAGGAGCCAGCCTCCATGGATGGACCATTATATGGTCCTGCAGGACACTGGAGAAGGGGGCTTTGCCCAGGTGAAACTTGCCTGCCATCTCTTCACTGGGACAGAGGTTGTGGTGAAGGTCCTGGCAAAAGTAGCCTCGAACTTTCCCTTCCTACCTGAACTGGATCTGATGGTGGCCTTGAACCACTGAAACATGATCCAGTTCTTCCAGGGCATCGAGACCATGTAATATATCTACCTTAACATGGAGCATGCAGGTGGGGGACAGCTATGGGACCTCATCCCCAAAGCTGATGGCATGCAGGAGGAGGAGGCTTGCAGACTATTTAGGCAGATCATCCATGCCATGCAGTACTGCCAGGACAAGGATAATGTGCATCCTGACCTGAAGCCAGAGAATGTGGTGGTGGATGCCAGTGGCAACACCAAACTCATTGACTTTGGCCTGAGCACCAGATTCATAGCTGGGAAGAAGCTGAATAGGTTCTGGGACACTGTCCTAATGTTGTTCTTGAAGTCATCCATGGGAAGGAATACAAGCACTATCCCCCGCCCACCAGACCTCTGGATCCTGGGTGTCGTTCTCTATGTTATGCTCACAGGGAAATGCCCATTTGAGGCAAGCAGCAATAAGCAGGTAAAGAAGCTGATCATACAGGGAATGTATGACATTCCCCCCTGTGGATTTCCAAGGGAACACAGAGCCTCATCAATGAAATCCTGACAGTGGACCCCATGCAGAAGCCCACCCACCTAGAGAGGTAATGGGGCACCCATGGTTGAGCCAGGGTGAGGAAGCTGCTTCACTTAGTCCTTATAGTGAGATACTCCCAAACTCCCAGATCCCATAATTACAAAAATCATGATCAACATGGGTTTCCACCCCTACAATACCTGAGTGTCTGTGGCAAGTTGAAGATTTGACATCACGATGGCTGTGTACCTCATGCTACAGTGCCAGAGAATCCAGGGGGCAGGCCCTGCGGATCCTCCTAGAGTCTGCCTTGAGAAGCATTGCAGTGAGCCTTCCCTTGCCCTCTGAGCAGCAGCAGCCTGAGGAGACCAAGCAGTCCTGGAAGTGCCAGTGTGCCTGCCATTCAGCTCTGCATCCTCCATGTGGACACACCTCCTCCCAGCCTAGCCTCCCAGTAGGACCCTGTGCCCAGCATCTCATCCTTCCAAGGGCAATCGCAGGACAGCAGCAAAGGCTGGAAGAGGCTGAGGAGGAGGATTGCCAAATTCATTCAACATCTGTGCTGCATACCTTGCTTTGGTTGCTAGTGTTCAGGAAAAGAGTGGCTCCAATGGAAATGCCCAGCCAAGACAGACAGAACTGAATGACAGCCGGAGGACCCTGAGCTCTTGGATTTGACATCATGGTGTGGGAGTGAGGTGTGCCTACTGGTTCAGGCTTCTTGCACAGATTCCAGGCTGAAGTTTATCTGTATCCACCAGGAGTCTATTATGCCCCCCACTGCAAAACACATCATAGAGACTTTTCCCTAGGACACTTTCTCCTTCTCTGCTCTTTGTCCTTTCTCTTATGCTTTGGGAGAAATTTATTTCTCCTTCCTTTTTTTATGAATTTATGAATTTTATGAATTTTCATAAAAGAAATTTATGAATTCCTTTTTTTCACAGATTATATAATAAAATTGATGTTTCAAAGATTAAAATATATATATATATGTGTGTGTGTGTGTGTGTGTGTGTGTGTGTGTGTGTGTGTGGTTGTTTTAGAGATGAGCTTCAGGGCAAAGGCTGGAGCTCACTGGCCATCCTCTATCCTCTCCTAGGCCTATACCACTGTACCTCTCTCTACTGCTCACTGTATATACTTGTTCACTTTGAGCCAGGGTAGACCGGGACTTACTTGCCTTAAGCCAAGGTAGACATGGACTTGCTCCCCTTGACAGAATATAGGCAGAGATGCTCCCCTTCAGCCAGTGTAGACTTGGTTCACTTTGAGCTGAAGGAATCCTTTTCCTGGTCTTCAGACCCCTCCCTGAAGTATGTGGGGAGGAGGTGTTGCAGCTTTGGGCAAGGCATTGGAGATTCCAGAGTGTTCTATGGCTTCATCTACATAATCTCATGTGCAGGAAGCAAAAGCTGGGCCAGTGGGCAGGGCAGGCCCCGCAGCAGCTGAGTGCTTCACCACATGCCATGCAGCCTCCACACCCAGCAGCTCTTTCTGGTCACAGCTAAAGGTCATGGAGAGCAAACACGTGGGATCTAGGGAGTGGAGATGTGAAATCTCAGGAATACTACTTACATATAAGCATAGTGCCTTATGTGGAATTGCTCTTATCTTTGGGTTCTATTGATAGTGAATTTTGTAAAGTGAAGTGAGCACAAATAAAAAGTAAGAGACACTTGGGTTAAAACTAGAGGTTTTGTGCACCTTCCAGCCCCTGGCATCTCTGCTCTGTGAGTCCCAGAACTTCTCTGGACAGCTTCTTCCTGCTCTTTCTTCCCTTTAGTGGTCAGAAATTGATATCTTTTAAACAAAGACATCCCATAAGTCATTTCAATAGTTTGCCCTTTTTCCTTGATCCAAGAAAAATGTTTTAAAGAAAAATACTCTATCATGCTGTTTTAATCACATGCATTATTTGTGTCAGGAGATAAAGGAATAAGTATAATCATGTTCATATAACAATAGATTTTCTCCAGTTAAATTTATCCAGAAAATTGCTCTCGATTTTATAAAATATAGATGTGAGAATTTTAGTTTTTATAGCATTTCAATAATGATTTGGGATGGAAGCATTTTAAATAGCTCTAAGTTTTATAGTTAAATATTGTGTGTGTGTGTGTGTGTGTGTGTGTGTGTGTTGCTGGGGATTAAACCCAGGGCCTTGTGCATGTGAGACAAGCACTTTACCAACTGAGTTTTATCCCCAACCCTTATAGTTCAATTTTAAAAACTTTTATAATAATAACAGGGTACTGTTAACAATTTTTGTTCATAGCAAAATGTTTCCAAGGATCTCCTGAAGAGTTGGTAAGAAGGTAGCCCTATCATGGGCTATGTGCTATTTCAGTTGAAAATGCTATGTGCTTATCAAGCCCCTGGTCATAGACATGGCAATTAACTCTAAAAATGGTAGAAGATTTTGTTTGTTGAGAATTCCTTATTAACACTGAAGACTCTGGAAGCTAGGCTAGAGCTACAATTCCTGCTTTAACTTCCTTGTGCCTCATTTTCACAAACATGAAAGGTGGGCAGTAGTAGGTCCCACAGACAGGACTGACTAATGGTTCAACTTAAGTTATAAGTTGGATATTGCTCAGACCCACGCTTGCCGCCATCCCACATGTTCATGCATATGTAATTAATGAATAAATGATGATTTACCATAACATGATTATACAATTTTCAAAGTAAGGCCTGGTTTTTAGGAAAGTATTGAGTTTAACTAAGGCTACCTTTATGTTATATGATATGAAAAGCAGTTTCCTTCCTGACCTGTCCCAAGTCCTGAACATGGTCAATTTTAATCTGATCAGAATCACTAGAGAGTTAAGAAGATGTGAAATATTTTAATCACAAATGGGAGTTCTTCAAAGGCATTTGGTGGAGTGAATATGAAGTTGCATAAAAGATTTATAAATGCTGAAAAAAGACTGAAATATTTTGATGATATCGGAGAAAGGGAAAGAGGGTATTTAGGATGCATATTTAGGAAAGCAATGAAGGTTAGATTGCACCTTGTATGGTACTGCTATGTCGCTATACTAGTCATAGTACATGGAGGTTCTGTGTTAGTTGTGCAAGCTTTAGACAGATGTGAGCTCCCACCTGCACATGTGAGCTGCTCCATAATTCTTTGCTCATTATTTTTGGTCACATCCATGTTCATGTCACTCAGGTCCAAAAGGTGTGATCAATGACTGGCGCCGCTACAAGCAATTGGAAACTGAGCAGAGAGAGGAGCAGTGCCGGGAGATGGAAAGGCTGATCAAGAAGCTGTCTATGACCTGCAGGTCCCATTTGGATGAAGAAGAGGAGCAACAGAAACAGAAGGACCTCCAGGAAAAGATCAGTGGGAAGGTAATCAGCAGTCCTAAGCTTTTCTCAGAAGCTGCCCTGGCCAGTAGAACTGGGCTTGGTGATTTGGGAGTTAGAGGATGTTGGTTTTGCCTCTGAGAAGCTTTGCAATACAGGGGAAAATATAGAGCCATGTCATAACTCAGGCACACCTGGGGTTTGACTCTCAGCTCTGCCATTAGTGATTGTGGGGAAATAAATTTCTTCCTTTCTGAATTTGGTTTTAGATTAGTTTATTGAGGTCATACCCACCCCAGAACTGTGTGGATAAAATGCCCATTGTAGTGACTGGCCCACTGAAAAGTGCTCATTTAATGTTTTCTGTCGTAGGAACTAAGATTCTAATTCAAATTTTCTTGTTCTTTCTGTGATGCTACTGTGTTTTATCTGAAGCCTATCATAAGGATTTATTCTGAGGAGGCATTAGAGTAGAAGCAGATAGGCCCTCTGGAAGATATTTGGAACAAGGTCCCTGACATTTCCTAATACCTTCTCAGTATTAAAGGGCCTGTGTTACTCACCTACATGGAAGAAAGTCTAAGAGTGCCCAAGATCAGTTAGGTGTGGCCCAAAGCCAAAGCACAAGCCAGGATCATGGAGCATTAAGTCAGGAGTCATTCACCTTGACCAGAAGGATGATTTCAGTGCATGAAAGTCGGCAAAGACCATAATAGGTCTGTTAGAAATAGCTGGCTGAGATAGAGTGGAGAGCTATGTGATGGGAAGAAAATTGGTAATAAGTATGACCCAGTAATGATGTCTGTTCTGACCTAGAGTGGGCCCTATTACCCACCCCTAATCTGTACACGATTAGGCTTAGTGAAGGTTTGTTACAGGGGCATCTTGCTGCACCCCAGAAGGAGAAGGAAGATGCCTTGTGATGTAAGCTGGCCCTTGGGCAGTGTGCCTGCTTTGCTTGGCTGCTTTCTTATCCTGGGCTGAAGGACCAGAACGAAGCCATAATCACATGACCACATGAATCAAGCTAGTGAGAGGCTATCTTTGTCCTGCTGAATTACCTGCAGTTGAATAGAACTAGAAACTGCCTGAATGCCAGAAATAGGGAGTGGTTAAGCAAAATATGACACATATATAATTTTTTAAACTATTTAGAAAAATGAAGAGATACTTAGAATTTATTATTAACATTAGCTAAGAGACTGAGTAGGTTATATCTTAATTGGTACACCCATGGCTTCTGTTTTAGGAGCAGAACTAATCTAGCATGTGACTGATAATAAGAAGAAAAATTTTAGAGTGTATGTGAATGTGTGGGTGTTTGTTGTGTGTAGACGTGTTTTGTGCAGGGCAGGGATTATAAGTGTTCTTTTGAAGTTACATAATGTCCTGTTATTTTTTATGAAAACAAAACAGTGAATAAAGCAATCCACTGTCAAGACAGACAAAATGAAAATAGCTCAGTGAAGTGGTACTATCTGATGCTGCCTGCTTGGGTTGAGAGGCAGTATGGTGTAATATAAACCAGGGTGTTGAAAATCTAGTTTGAGTCCTGGTCTTACACATACTTCTTGTGTGAATTGTGCAGCTAACATAAGTCTTTAAACCTCATTTGTAAAATGAGAATTATAAAATCCCTTTCCCAATGGGATTATTGTAAGGCATGGTAGCATTCACACAAGTAGGCCCAGCTTGTTGGGAGACCAAGGTGGGAGGATTGCTTGAGTTCTGGCATTTCAGGCTGGCATGGGTGACATAGTAAGACTTCCTTTTCTGAAACAAAACAAAACAAAACAAAAAACCAAAAAAACCCCAAACAATCTCAAACCCTCCTAAAATACAACAACTTATTAAGACATAATGCACATAAAGTGCTCAGTGTGGTGCTGCATGTATCTTAAATATAAGGTGCACATCAACATTTATCAAAAGTGTTCACTTGTGTCTGCTTACCTGCTGGTCTCTTACAGATGACTCTGAAGGAGTTTGCCATGATGAATGAGGACCAAGATGATGAAGAATTTCTACAGCAGTATCGGAAACAGAGGATGGAAGAGATGCGGCAGCAGCTCCACAAGGGGCCCCAGTTCAAACAGGTTTTTGAAATCCCTAGTGGAGAAGGGTTTTTAGACATGATTGATAAAGAACAGAAAAGCACCCTCATCATGGTCCATATTTATGAGGATGGCATTCCAGGGACTGAAGCCATGAATGGCTGCATGATCTGCCTGGCTGGGGAGTACCCAGCTGTCAAATTCTGTCGGGTGAAGAGCTCGGTCATTGGGGCCAGCAGTCGGTTTACCCGGAATGCCCTTCCTGCCCTGCTGATCTACAAGGGGGGTGAATTGATTGGCAATTTTGTGCGCATTACTGACCAGCTGGGGGAAGATTTCTTTGCTGTGGACCTTGAAGCTTTTCTACAGGAATTTGGATTACTCCCTGAAAAGGAAGTCTTGGTGCTGACATCTGTGCGTAACTCTGCCACCTGTCACAGTGAAGACAGCGATCTGGAAATAGATTGAACGGATGGTCTAGTTGCATAGATTTCTCATTGTTTGGGCTGGAAGATACATGTCTGTGTTTATTTTTGTTCCTTCTTCGTCTTCTGACTTTTCAGCTGTTCTTTGTAGTCCTTTTAGTTATCATAGAAAGTCAAGAAATTCTTAGATTAGATCAGAATGCTGAATTACTTTGTGGCTAGCAATAAAGTGACTTTAAATTGCATAAACAGGAAGCTAGGCTTTGAACTGTTTACTTAAGATTCTCTAGCATGACATCTCTGTTATTGTTTCCAGTCACTATTTACATAGCATTCTAAAGACTGTCCTGGAAATTGTCTCCTGTTGACTTTGGAGGTCCTGCCAGGTCTGAGAGTAGAATTCTCTAGTTAGTATGTTATTTGCAATGTAAATAGTATATTTCCTTAATCAAATGATTGCAGTTATATTTTCTTGTAATTAGATTCCCCCAGATGCTCTGCTCTTCCATGGTCTTATATAAAGGTTCCAGATGAGGCTGGGGATATAGCTTAGTGGTAGAGCACTTGCCTAGTGGTGCAAAGCCCTGGGTTCTACTCCCAGGGCTTTGTTTTGTACTATAGAAACACAATAAACAACCAAAAACCCAAACAGCCCACACAGGTTCTAGAGGATGTGTGCTTGCCCTGTCAGGAGGGGTGGCCTCTACTGCTAGAGTCAGTGCCCTGCTCAGCACTCTGAAATCTAGAACAGGAGAAGGGATTTATGCTGAATGCTGTCCTCACGCTGGAAGACAAGCATCTTCTTTACAAACACTGGAGCTGGGTGGAGCTGGAGAACTTTCAGTGAGGTGCTTTTTCTTGTCTCTGTGTCTCTGTTATTTAACGAGGTAACTTTTTATTTACTCTAGATTTTTTTTAATAAACTGGTCTTTTTGCATATTGAAAAATAATTCATATTTAATAGAGGAAAATTGACCAAAATGCAGAAAAAAATCTAAAAATTAGAATAATTTTTAATTCTATCATCTAGAGTAAAGCACTATTAATGTTCTGATATACTATAAATATTTCTTACTAAAGCATTTTCTGTGTATACCTACACATTTCATTGATTTTTTTTTGAATTATTGGGATCATTCTGAACATACTCTTTTATAGTATGATCGACTAATAATATATCAGATTTAACTTTTTTTTTTTAATGGCTATGATATTGTATTGATGTGCTGTAATTTGCTTGAGCCAAGAGGATTGTGAGTTCAAAGCCAGCCTCAGCAAAAGTGAGGTGCTAAGCAACTCAGTGAGACCCTGTTTCTAAATAAAATAGAAAATAAAGTTGGGGATGTGGCTTAATGGTTGAGTGCTCCTGAGTTCAATCCCCCGTATCCCCGCAGCTCCCCCCCCCAAAAAAAAGCAAACATTTTTTAAAAATTATTATGAAAGTAGTAGATATTTAGTAGAACATGTGATAAGAGTTGTTAAGCAAAGGAGATTTAAAAAGCCATATAATTCTGTTAACCAAATTAATCTCTGTTATTATTTTTACAGGTTTATCTTTCTGGTCTTTGTGTTTATTTATAATAATAGTTGTTAAAGAACAAGTGAAAGTAAAATTTAAAAAATGATTGTTATTCAAATTGTTTCCTACTTAAAATGTATATCCTGGCATCAGGAAAGATGTAATCTGGAATTAAATATTAGCTTTAAAATTCACAGTTTTGGTTTTCCTCATGATTCAGGAATTGACTAACTGTAGAAAAGTCTTCAAAGCATTTAGTCAACAAAAAGAATGTGGTCTTTCTGACTAGGGAAGTTCATTGTAGAAAGTGCGGAAGGTTCAGAAAATGATCGGAAGCAGAGACAACTGTTACTAGTGTTCTAGGTTTTTTCGTTCTAGTCTTTTTTTTTCAGTATTTTTCATAACACTGAAAGCTTCTTGAATTTAGTTCTATGCTCTGCCTTAATATTATATGATAAATACTTTGACATGTTATAAAAATTCTAAATAAATAATTTATAATGGCTTCATCATTTCTATCATTTGGATGTACCATAATTTATTTAACCAGTTCTTTTATACTGGATATTTCAATTCTCAGTGTTTTGCTAAAGCACTTATCATCTTTGTGTTTTAGGCCATGTTTTGGGCCATTCTCGTAGACGTCTTGAAGAGGAATCACTGAGCAAATGGATAGCAACATTTTAGAACAGCTTTTATAGTCTATCTTCTGTTCTCTCTGGAAATGAAAATAAACACACATACAACAATGACTGCCTTTCAGGAATAGAAATTCTAAAATAAAGGGAACAGATATGAGATGGGGGAATCCTAAAATATCACATCTGTGACTCAGATGTAGTGGAACCCGCATGGAATTTGGAGTCAGGCAGATCTGAGTTAGAATTCTGATTCTGTTACTTGTTTATTCTGTAGTTTCTGGTGAGGAACACAGCCTTCCTGAGGCTCAGATTCCTCATGTTTTTTTTTTTAA